CATTGTACCTCTACATTTCCATTTAGAGAAATGGTGTATCACGGGTGGCGAAATTATGGCCAAATGCCAGGATACCTTACGCCATCTCACCACACTATACATCGCATGAACGCGCTCTTCTCGCTCGAGCTGTCAAGCAGGTACGTTTGTGGGTATTTCAGCATGTTGTTTTCTCACTTTTACGAAGGCAAGTATCCAAAGGCAAGTTGAATCTTGTGTAGTACACTTAAAGAAGGGTAGAATGTAGAAGATTTGGAAAACATTTGTCACGATTCAAAAACTGAGAAAGGAATGTGTGAGGAGCTAAGTTCCTCCCCCACATTGGCGCCGAAATACGAACTCGAATTATAGACGTAGGAAACGACAAGGGTAAATTAAACATAAAAATGATTGAGGCACTTGCAGTACCACAACTCCAGAATCAGAAAAGTTCAAGGGAGCGCTGGTGTAAAATAGGTGTGCGGTCCACTGAGTTAGAGAAAGAAGCCACTAAAAATGGTAAAATATAGGTTTCCTCATCATTAGAGTATTATGTGACGTCAATGGTTAGACATTTCTTATTGTCAGGAGATGATAGACCTGTGCTACATCTGCACCCGTAAACGAGAGGGCTCCCCCAGGTCATGGGCACTTTCCAGAAAGGTTTTCAGCGAATTTGGCTTGGCTGAGGGCACCAGATGGTACTCATACTTATACGGCTTACTTTGTGGAGACCCGTGAATTTCTGTGACCAAAGTTTTTACTCGTTCCGTTTCGCAGCTTCACGGGAGTTCACGGGAGGTCCCACTTTGCTGGTACTGTTATTTAACATGAACTAGCAAAAGGAACCAGCAAAAGTGCAAAATGCACCCTCTAAGTCGGACAGCGCCCAGTTTTCTGCGTGATGTACGAGACGGTACATGGAGGGGAAAAGGGTGGTTTCTTTTTGCTGAGCGGTTCCAGTAGTGACAAAAAGTACACTCGAAATCCCTGAGATCGGGTAGGCGTGGCCGCATGTTTCAACTTAACCTGAAGGTGTCTATGCTTCTGGTGAGATATTTTCATCTTGACACAAATTGTTGTCGTGTCTCTGTCCAACACAGAACAAGATGACAGTTGTCCCAGACTGGAATATTCCACGAGTAACCAGTTCCGTGCCATGTTCAATGCCACGCCTACTCTGGCTCAGGGATAAGGAGTGTACTAACAATTATTGGTGGAATGGTGCATGGCATATTGAGGTGGGATCACGTTGGTCGCATTAGGGCGCGTTTACGGTTCGAGAGCTCCGACGAGCTTTTCGGACACGCTTCTTTTTGAAGCAAATCCTGCGATCCTTCGCCATCACATACAGTGGATTTGGTTTGTAGCATATAACAAGCGTGCTGCGTAACTCAATAGTGAAAAAGGCTAGGAAAAACATGCCCAACTGCCCCAGAAGGAAACCCCATTTCGGTCCCAGTTTTACGTGCCTCAATTAACTCCATTAAAACACGCAAACTCTCACACAGCCTGATTTCCGCACGGCTTATTTCCCTATCAGAACGATACGACGGCACAGGTGATGATTTTCAGGCTCATTCGTCCTGCAGCTTCATTTTTCACCGAAGCGAGGTCTCCTGGTAGGCAGAGTCACTGGAAAAATACAGCCGTCACTGATTCCTATATTGCACTATAGCGCCCTTCCTTACATTTGTTGCGCAAAACCGGTTACAAGCTTGTTTGGCTGGCGAGACCATATACTTCAACGCCATATTTTCAACTTCTATAGCTGAACGTGGACCGTGCCTTTGAGAAAAAGTTGAAACATATACGACTCAGCAACAGTAATCATAACAAAAACACTGAAAAAATCCAAAGGGCGCTGTTTCGCGAGCGGGGGGGGGGCATTTTGCACTTTTGCTACTTCCCATCGACGTGTCGACCCATCTAGACAGCCTCTTCTCGAGTTGACAGGTTTTACCATGATGGCTTGACGAGCTTGCTCCAGCTTCACAAGAGTTCACAGGTTTCACCAGAGTGAGACTTGTAAACCGGAACTAGTGAAGCAACGAAAGTGCAAAATGCCCCCCCCCGTCGTCGAACTGCGCCAAAGTATTCTGAAGACTTAATTTCTCAGTAGGTGAAGGAATGGATTTACCTGAATGAATGCTTGATGACCAGGTATTCCTAAAAGTGATTTTTAGTATCACGAGAAGACGTGCATTCGGTTCGTGCCTCGGTCTGGTGGTGAACCTGATTATCTGTTCATCGGAAAAGTGGATGGGTGAGTTGCGAAAAAAGTTCATCAGGCATCAGTAACTATCTACTTCAGCGATGAATCAGTTAGAAGGGCGAAAATCTCGAAATATTGCCATCGCCGGTCTATGAGCATTAAGCTCTTGAATTATATTTGAAATTGGATAACATTTTGGTCCACGGCAGCGCTGTAATGGTGTGAACTATAAACACAAGAAACGACAAACAGTTTTCTCCGATGCGAACGCTGGAGCGTGGGGTGGGGGGGGGGGTTGGAGGGGAGGAGCTGGGTTTGACGAGGCTTCGGCCTGTTTCCACTAACTGTGAACTGCCAGCTGACACAACTGATGGAAAACGAGCTGTTGCCGAGCCAAACCGAGCTCCTGACACGCCCCAGTGACCAGGACTGTAAGAAACCTGCCAAACATGACAAGGTCCAGAGACATTCTACAGTCTCAAAACCAGTAAAATAAGAACCGGAATGGTCGGAACATATGATTTGAAGCGCCCTCATACTTTGAGATTTGGTCGCTTCGACTGCACGATCACAGTGACCAAATCGCGAGTATGAAGGCGCTCTTAAAGGTATGTGGCACAATAAATCCCCAAGACGTGTAGGATTAACGCGCTTACCAAGATAGAATTTGGCGCCCCTGAAGAGGCGCTGCGTGTTGCTTTTTCCAAGGAACGAACCCTAACAGCGACCTATCATGCTGCAGTATACCGACCCGGACGCCCATCGCTCCCGCCGCCCACAAATGTCCGGACCGATTCTGATTCTCGTATCGCTTCACTTGCGAAGTATTAGGTTGTCCCAGAAGTTCGTGAACATTTTTTGAATCTCGTATCAGATCTTTCCGCAGCCATTTCGAGATCCAGTTATGTGGTCTATGGGAAGTGTGTTAGGTAAGCATCCCACAGCTTTACCGTCCCTCGCAGTCGCTGTTCTCATATGAAAATATATGCAAACTGGTAGTTGAAATTTATCATTTCCGACACACTTCGCCATATGAACCTTTACCAAGCACAGTCGTGTGTTCAGGCACGAGTCGGCTTTCTCTAAGTTAAGTCCTGATGTTACTTCACAGGTACTGGCACTGAAATGGCCAATCGCTTCACGCCTGCGCAACTTCCACTACATCATGACCCGGGAAATGTGTCCAAAAAGGCCACCTGCCTTGCGATTTAGAACCTACTGTGTTCTTGTTTAGATAACGATGAATCGATCTTCAAGGGAGCTTTGTGGTATGTTATACTATTCTCCCGCTGTCCGCGACGGACTGTGTTGAGTTAGCGCTCTTACTGGATATGGAGTAGGTCTCTTAGATGGAATATCCCGGAAGCGCCTCATGGCTAGTCCCGCCAGAAGGGGGTCAGAACGTCGCCAATCTCTAACCCAGTAGGGCGGTGAGACTGTCTATGTTTGGTGAGTTGTTCTTTATATTTCCTTCCTGTCAAACATAATTTTTCCCTCTAAACGCTGTGGTACCTAGGGAACATATTGTAACCAACTGCAAAAGGGTGGATGAAAATTCCCTCCATCTGGTCGCCACAAGCGTAGCATATTTTGACCTTACTTAACCACAGCTTCGCGTTCTACATGGAAAATACGTTGCTCGGTTACCTGACGGCTCAGTTGGGGATTCCACCAGCAGTCTGCTATGTCTTTCCAATGAGCCATCTAAACTATATCCATGCGGACCTCTTCCTGGTGTGAAAAATCGATTTTTGATCAGTACCTCAAATGACCCTAGCTGTTTTCTGGCGCACAGGACAAGAGTCTTCTAAAGCGGGCAAACACACTTGAGTATGTGATTTGGCAGAATTGGTGCCAATGTATATATTAATGATCAAAATTGCTTCCCACTGGAATAAACTTAACTCGAAAAAAATGTTCGAAAGTTTCACGAACTTGTGAGACAACCTAATACGATATGAAGCGAACGGATTACTATGAACCGGCTGCGGTGCTGCATGGACGTACACTCTAGTTCGCTGCGGACGGTTGGGCGTGTCAGGCAGTATGAGTGTGTCACCCTATCAAAGCCGTTCTCTGCCTTCTTGTTGAAGCGCGCATGCGACAAAAAGTGGTAGAAAACGAGTAATACGAACGATATGATACAGTCATATCACTTGCTCGCTTTAACAACTGGTGGAGAACGGGTTTGGCACCGCGCCAAACTCATCCCGCCTGACACGCCCAACCGTCCGCAGCGAACTACACTATATGAGTACACTAAAATCCCTGAGATGAGGTAGGCGTGGCTGCGTACTTCAACTAAACGTCGTGGTGGCTGTGCTCTTGGAAAGACATTTTCATTTTGACCCAAATGTGGTCACGTCTTTTTCCAACAAAGAACAAGATGGCGGTTGTCTGAAATTTAAATATCCCACGAGTAACCAGTTCCGTGCCATGTTCGAATGCCACGCCTACCCCGTCTCAGGGATAAAGAGTATACGCACCCGTATTTCCCGTAGCGGTTAATGACACGATGCCAACGGGAAACTCGTCCGAAATTGCTGAGTGGTGTAGAACAAAGGTTATTTTGCCGCTTCTTTTGACCATTCCTCTTCGTTTTTTGCCTATTTTCCCCACTATAGAGCATCCCTGCTACCA